AAACAGCATTCCTAACTTTGCGGAGTCTGGCATGAGTTAGTTTTTATAGATGATTTTCTTCTATCCTGACCACTGTTCAGAATCGGATCCAAATTCTATTAGTATTATTTAGGAAAAAAACTATTTGCTTAAGTGAAATCAGGAAAAATACAGATTTTCACTTGAATTCACTTTTTATCTTGTCAAATCAGGTTTTTATCCAATAATATTTGTTATCATGTGGAACTCAGATGTGGCTTTTTTGGTTTATCTGGTGTACTAGTATGAATCAATTCTCAAAGATGGGTAGGAACTGAAGTCTATAAATTAAATTTAGTAGAAAGTCAAAGGAAAAGCAAGTCAGGTCAGACCTTGGAATACAGCAAAGGTCTCCAACCTTTTGGGCACCAGGGACCGGTTCCGTGGAGAATGGTTTTTCCACAGAGCAGAGTGAGTGTGGTTTTGTGTGCTGCCTGCATCCCATGGATGGGGCTTTGCTTGTTTGTGCGGACCGGTTGCTGGCATGCTGCGGTCCACTACTAGCCTATGGACTGGGGACCCCGGCAATACAGTATAACATGAAAATCTTTCCATATCAAGACTGTAGTGAAGTGTACTGCTAATGTGAAGCAGCAGTGATCTGCGGAACCCTAATAATCCAACATACTGATAGTAGTGTAAAATTGCCTTGCTTGTAGGGATGAACTGATGGGAAGCATGAATCATGGCGATATGTTTTAAGACCAAAACATGAGGAGAAACAGCTAATAAAAAGCATTACTATATTGTCACTTAATGCAGGTTTGGGGTTATTGAGTCTTTCAGTATTGGACATCTAAAGATTCCAGATTTCTCTGTATTATGTGTACATATCTAGTGAAAAAAACTAAAACTCAGCTTCCAAGGCCACGGAGGAGTGGAGTATAATGCATTTCTATTAACACATTTAATGTGTATCCCCTATAACAGTGGTGGCGAACCTTTTAGAGACCGAGTGCCCAAACTGCAACCCAAAACCCACTTATGTATCGTCAGGTGCTGGGTGGGTGTGGCCTGCTGGATGGGTGTGGCCCGCTGGGTGGATGTGGCTTCTGCCGCCTGGATCTATGCCTCCAGAGCGATTTCGTGCCCCCACACGGCCGAGAGCGAGCAAGAGCACAGGCGCATGTGGAGAGGCAGAGGGGAGCAGCCTGGCCCCACCTCCCTCTGGGGCGATGGCACGCGTGCTGACTGGGCTGGCTCCATGTGCCGCCTGTGGCACATATGCCATAGATTCGCCACCACAGCCCTATCATAAGGCATTTGAGAAATTTCCCACTGTATTTACATGGCTAGGAATAAAGATAGAGGATACAATATGAGATCATTTTCTACATGCATAGTGAACATGGCTTCTGCAAATCTTTAATAGCAGCTCTGCTTTGAGTCACTTGGCCAGGATGGAAGGAGAACTGGGCTTAAGTACCAGTATGGAAGAATCAGACATATTGCAAGCTACTGGCCAACTGCTTCTCCCATTTAGGATTTTTTTTTCCTGGCTGGATATAGCTCATTTCAGACTCAGACTTTCTTTTGCCAACTCCTAACCATGTGCCAAATTGGTCCCATTCTGTTCTTGATGGATGAGTAGGAACTGTTGCTCAGATCCAGTTTTAGTTTATTTTGTTCCATCCAGATAATTTCCAGGTATTGGGACAGGACAATAACAGCATCTTCTGTCTGTCCCAGAATGGTGATGTATAGTTGGATACCATCAGCATACTGTTGCTAAGAGATCAGTCTTGTAGCATTGGGAAGACTGATGTTTGACCCTATATATATAGTGGATTGGAGATCTGATGTTCCTTGTGAGTGAAGAACATTTTGCTTATAGACATAAGATTGTGCAAGGATGACTAAAGAAAAATGGGCCAATAAGGAATAAAGGGAAAAAAAACAACAACAATGCCATACCCTGGACCAGTGGATAACCTGGAGCAAGAACTTCACGTTGACATTAAAGAGCAGCAGGAAAAATACCAAACCCTGTTCCCACCTTCCCCAAAGGAGTAGCTGTGTCACCAACCTCTCTACTCCCTGTATCATGTAGAAATGTCAGTTAAAGAAAGAATGAAATAATTGTGATACAAGACCTCTTTTAGCTGGTCCAGAGGGATAACATGGTTGATGGTACTGAAAGCCACTGAGAATCCGCTTTTATTCATGAAGCAACAAACTTGAACTTTGACTGAAGCAGGCCCAGATAGCCTTCTATCTCTAGACTTCTCCATGGCTGTCAATGACCACAATCTTCATAACCTTTATCATGAAAAGAAAAGTTAGAGACAGAGTTATAGGTATTTATTAAGGACTATTGGGTTCAGGTAGGGCTTCTGAAAATAAAGATATTACCACAGCCTATTTTAAGGTTGCTGGCAACACCTTTTCATGACTCAAGGCATTGATAATTTTCTGGAGCAATTTTATCCCCTTTCATACTTCAAAGTAGACAGGAAGGGAATGACCCAAGTTCTAAGTGTAAAAAGCTTATTGTCTTTTTAAGAGGCCAAATTAAATTCCATTTTATTCATGTTTAGAAAGAACAATTATTCTTGCAGCACATAGAGATTTTTAGATTTGTTGTAGAGTTGTAGCAGATTTGGGTGGCCTACAAATAAATAATTAAACACATGGAATCTAATCCAAAACCATAGAAAATGTGATTTTTTTTAAAAAAAAAGTGCCAGAGGACATACTGTTAATTTTAATGTAATAGATTAACATGTCTGATCTTTGTGCCAAGAGCAGTGGAATTTAGTTGGCTTTATGATTCTGAATAGACAACAACAGAATAAAAGGAAAAAGAATTGAAATTCTTGACAATTGAGAAGGAAGCGTTCTAACCTTATCAGTGATACAGTATTATCTTGTGTCCTTTTTCTCCCAATAAGCTTCCTCCCCAAGGCCAGTTTCAATGCAGATAATCAGGTTAAAGATATCTACTTCCACAGTGAGCATATCATTTTGTATTTTGTACTTTGCATGCTGCATTTTTAGTACTGGGGGGTAGCGATTACCAACGGTTGTATTATTGGATAACAATTCATTTGCCTGAAATGGATCTCTAGGAACAATGTACATTGTCAGTCATCTGTAGTCTTCTCTTCTCTGGACAAACCAAGATGTAAAGCTGATAAAATTTAAAACTAGTAAGATTTAAAACTGGTAATATTTGGAAAGGTGCAATGTAACTTGTCACACACTCAGGCACTAAATAGATTTTAAACTCATTGAATTCAATGAAGCTTACACAGGTGCAGCCTGTTTTTACGTTGATTTTACAAATTTAAATACCTAAAAGGTTAATAAGCTTGATGTAAGGTTGAATTATGATAAAGCAAACTGCAGCCCTTTTTGAAGAGATGCCTTTCTCCTCCTTAGACCCTGCGAAATCAAATCTGTTCCATATTTTGGGACTCCTTAGAACAGATGTTAAAATGCCTGGATACTGCAGAGGAAATGGAAGCTTTCTTTTTTTCTTGGTACCATCCCCTGAACTGACCGATTGAAGTCAACCCTAATTTTAGTTCTGATAAAAAAGAACTTTTGTGTCTTCAAATTGGACTGAAAGTTTTGCAAACAGATCAGGTTCATCCAGTCACTTGTGGAATTGGTTGTCAAGTTGTATTTATTTTATGATTTGTGAGTAAAGCAACTTTCAGATTCTGTGTATGCTCGTATGTTTCTGTGTGTATATATACACTGAATTTCAGCTATGTATAGTTGAGTGCACAGAATCAGTCCAAGTTGTAAAGGTCACTGGTTTTGATATGAAGCTAATGGGAAGCAAATATCTGTAGGAGTGCAAGAGGGATGGCCTCCTACAGGTTGCTAAGCAACAGACCACAAGAATTTGTTCCATCATAAGGCCATGTCACCTCTTCAGTTTGTTTATGTCAAGCACTCCACCACCCGGGTATGATAAACGAAGGTAAGGTGGGGAAAATGTAGCATGTCTGTAGCAATTGTAATTCTCCATTCTGCTTGTGGTAGATAAGTGGCCTTGCATCTGTGCTCTTTTTGTCACTCCTCCCTCAGGGGAAAAAAAAGGAAAGAAAGTAGAAGACTGGCTGGCTGCCAATTATCACCTTTCCAAATCAGATTGTGTTTGGTTTCGGTTAGACTGCCTGGCTGACATGGAATTTGTGGAATTCCACTTTGCATCTGTGGAATTTAGAACAAAACCTCTTTCATTAAAGTACAAAGGCCATCATGTTCAAATCATTACCTTTATGGCATGCTCTTGGAACTAATTATTGCCAACTTGGGCACTGAGTTTCATTAAACTTTCTTTGGTATTTGATTTGTGCTTCAAAACAGGTTGATAATATGCACCACTTTTTCAGAAATAGTAAAATATTAAACATGCCTTACAGTTAGAAAGATGAGAGGGCATCAGCCTTTCGCTTGAATTCATTCCATGGCCAGAACTACTTTAACTAGTTACTGCTTAATAGCGTGTTGCAGTATAGATTACCCAGAAAAAAACACCTTAATCTCAATTTACTATCTGTAAACCAGACTTTGACCTGTGTCTATCTCAAGTGTTCTTGAACACAGTTGCTGCCATTAGCAACAATAGTATATAAACTAAATGTAAAATGTGTATGAATTAGTCAGGAATAATATGCCAGTTTGTGACGTTTGGTTCCTCATTCTATAAACCTGGTTTCCCATTTTGTGAACAAGTTTCAGTGATTTTCATTTCGAATCATCGGAGAAAGAACAATATAAGGCAACTCGTATATTTTTTCTCTAACTTCTGACTGAACAATGCCACTCTGTTTACATGGCTCTATAATTCAGGCTTACAGCATTAGAGATAGCATTGTAGCTGAAGGAAGAATCTGAAGATATAAGTCATTGTAGTGATAAATACATTTTAAATCAAAATTATATATTGAGGTTTCAAATAAGAGAGATAGATTATGCTTACATGGACTTTGTTAATACAACTGATAATGAAAACATGTCTTTTACAGTACTGTTGCTTGAGAGGATAGAAAATGATGACATCCACAACAAAACTCTGAAAATCACAGATTTTGGCTTGGCAAGAGAGTGGCACCGAACAACCAAAATGAGTACTGCAGGAACCTATGCATGGATGGCTCCTGAGGTCATTAAATCATCCATGTTTTCTAAAGGAAGTGACCTTTGGAGGTAAAGTGTTTAAATGACTTCTGTATAACTAAATAAAATTTGAACCAACCTTATGTTCAATGGTTTTCTTCTAATATGCATGCAAAATAACCTTAATGGTTCTATTTTTTTATTGATAGTTTTTTTTAAAACAAAATAAGAGATGCTTAATTTTTAGATTTAAACAATAATTACATAGTGCTTTTAAACCATAAAGGATTTCAAAGCAGTTCAGAGTTTGTGAACTCTAAAGCTTCTTCCTTCCGTTATGTATTTAAGATGGACAGTGATTAATATTTATATGTTACTTATATGTAAGGATGTAGATCTATACATATGTTGTATATAGTATGTTTAAATGTGTGTTGTGTATGTGTACACTTTGAGAGCCAGCAACTAAATTTCATTTTTAATGTGTGCCATTGTGCCCACAGTAAAAAATGACAATAAAGGTTATCTAATCTAATCTAACCTAATCTAATCTAATAAACAGGTTCTGAAACATACACAATTCTAAATGTGGAATTTTATCCATTACTCTGTGGATTCTTTGAGAGGAAAAGGGAATTTTGTGGGTCCAGTAATTCACAAAACCCAAGTGTTTAGTAACAGTTTTTTTTTTACTCTATAACTATTGCATGTGGAGAAAAGTACACGTGGTTCTTAGCCATAGGACTGATGGAGACAGTAGTGAGTTTGAACATCACACTAAGGTTTAATGTAAATTGATTCACTGTTTTCTACACAATATGCTTAAATAAACCATAGCTTAGCACATAGTGCAAAGGCCCCCTCCTCCTTCCCATTTTTTTGCTGGAAGATGAGAAGGCATATCTGGAAAGACAGATCTTCAGAGAGCTTTCTGCCAGGCCGATAGTATTCTAAAAGTTATCTAATATGCTGTTTAATTAAATGTATGCTGTAATAAATCTGATACTCATTTATTAATAAAGGTGAGTTGAAATAGCTCTAAAGACTTAATAACTAGTGACAAGACAATATGAATACCATTATTCAAGAGTAACATTTTATTCCAAATTTATACCAATTTTAATTATGAAGAGTAAGCCACTTTGTCAGGTTCTCTGGTTTGAGCAGTTATTCTGTCTTGGCTTCCTAGTTTGGATACATTACTCCCAATTTTCAAGTTTTATACGCTGGATCAGAGACAATGTCAAATCCATGTTAAAAAAAAGCAAAAGAAACATAGGGTTTATATATTCTTGTAGTACAATTGCAAAGAGCCCTTCTAAGGCTTTATCTTCTACTGCAGGCATCTTCAAACTTGGGCCTTTTATGACTTGTGGACTTCAACTCCCAGAATTCCTTAGCTAGGCACGCTGGCTGAGGAATTCTGGGAGTTGAAGTCCACAAGTCATAAAAGGCCCAAGTTTGAAGACCCCTGTTTTACTGCATATTACCATACTTGCCATGTTATGCAAACCAAGTGCTTAATGGAAATAAGCTAATGTCAAAAAAGGTTAAACTATTATTTGTTTAATTGTGATTTGTTAAATCACAATTGTCTTATTTGTCCAATTCCTAGTTTATATCTTCTCTAATGCTACACCTTTGTGAATTGGTTAGAAATATGAGTAGAGCACAAAAATCAGCAAGAGGTCAGCCAGGAATGCACAAACTCTGTGGCTCCAAGCAGTCCTCACTGACCTCTAGCTGCTCATCCAGCTAGTCCAAAAGAAAGCAAATCCTATTCTGTGGCCTTGCAAAGTATGTATTACACTTCACACACAAAACTAAGTTTTTTCCCTCTAAAGTTTGAAGCTTTTAAAATTCATAACACTCTGACTAATCTGAAATGAAAGCAAAACCTTCTGAATGCCACTCAGCTATGCTAGTAGCCAGCAAGGAGAAGCACCTAAGCCCAAAGTTTGCATGTACATGCTTGTAATTCTAAGCCATGATTTAGTATAACATCTAAAAGCAGCCACGAGAGACATCAAGTCTACCCAGAACACAGAGATTATTTTGTAGACAGAGTCTATATAGCTTCAAGCTCCTCTACAAAGCCTCATGGGTCAGTTTTTCTTTCCTTAAAACAGAAGAAAGTGAAAGCTGATAATTAAAAACTCCAGATTCCCTTTGTGTTTCTTTGCTCCTCTTATTTCTGCTCTGCACCCTTGATTATTATTTTCCCTGAAGCAAGAAAACGCAGAAGCCCTTTTCTTATTTTATCCTCAGCATTCTTTGATCTTTAAAAAGAGGAAAAAATATTGCATGCACATGTTTATTCTTATCTTGTCACTTACTAAACTTATATCTTTTTTCTTATGCATTCCACCATAGGAAATTTCTTAAACGTTTCTACGCATCCATTTGCTTAGGAACAATATCATTTAATTCTTTTTGAAGGTGCATCAAAATATTCTTAATACTGTAGCCTGAGTTGCGTATGGAAAGGAGTCGTTGCCATTGGCTCACTTTCCGTATAGTTACAATGCAGGAAGATAATCTGTCATTTTTCCTAAACAATTTAATTGCAGGCCCCAGTTACCTTCTGTTGTCATGCCATTTGAGAGTGAATTTCTTTTGAGGCTTTGCTAATACCTTGACATTACTTTTGATTCTTGAATATTTGCTATTCCTGCTTTTTTTTCACCTTGCATTTTCTTAAGTAATTATGCAAAGTAAATATAGAAAGATGGAACTTGATTTCTGCTTAGTAAGGCCTATAAGGGAGAATCTGGTTGTGCTGTCTGATATGCCCTTCCCCCACAGTGAATTGATAGTATACTGGCACTTAACTGGAGATGAAGCCTGTGTACATCTCCCATAATCCCTGAACCTTTTTGCTAAATCAACAAAGGAAATACTAAGCCTGATTTCTTGTTTAAGGAAGGGGAGTAATGGTTACATGGTGATATGTGCTGAAGCCTCCCATTTACATACAGATAAAGCAAGGCAGAATGGGTGCCATTTGCTACATGTTACATTCATTGTTAGTCTTTCTATACAATGCTTCAAATCACTCCTAATGCTAATGACATTTACTAAACTCTGTCACTTCAACTCTGAAAACATTTCATTTTCCATCCTTATGGGTTGATCAGCTGAAATACATTTTTGTGAAGAAAATTAACCAATTTCCCTCAAGCTCAAGAGCATTTTGGAAACCAGTTTTACAAAAAGGCCCCATCTAACACTATAAGATCATCAAGCCTGGTGTAAAAGACGTGATAATTTGTTTCCTTTTGCAACTGAAGAATAACTAAATTTCAATAAACTTCAGATCAAGTTTTAGAACAACAGTGAAATACAAATGTTGGTGTATATTATTCTGGCTGAAAATCTTGGGGGAGGAATAATTTAATTGTCTGCATAATAAAACTTTCTGGATTCAAATATCCTGGAGGTTTAGTGTGTTTCATTTTGCTGCAAAAGTGTATAGTATCAAATCTACTTTTGGGAGGATGCAGAACATTGCCATGGCGCAGTTATAGCGCATTCTTCCTCAGCTTGATGCTTGTAAGATATATTGGAGTTCAACTTTCTTTAAACAGAAGCATGGAAGTTAGGGATTACGGGAAGACCAACATATTCCAATGGCCCCAGATGGGGGAAGGCAGATGCTCTCTTTCTGGATTTTATTTTCTCCCCCCTACTAGAGTACTTTCTAGGCAGACTGCTGTCCTTCCCTACCTTTAGGAAATCATGTGTTAGCATTAAACAAGCACAATTAATTGTTTGCAAATTTATTTATAGTTATGGCGTATTGCTGTGGGAACTGCTTACAGGAGAGGTTCCTTACCGTGGCATTGATGGTCTTGCTGTGGCTTACGGCGTTGCTGTCAATAAGCTTACTTTGCCCATTCCATCCACCTGTCCTGAACCATTTGCTAAACTAATGAAAGGTACTTGTGCTGCTTATTAAGACAGCTGATGTAAGATTGCTTGCATGTTCTCTATAACATATGTGACTTTTAATGACAGTGTTTCATTTGGTACTAGGCTAGCTTCTATTCGGAGTCAGAAAACATTTTTCCATTCCACTGAAGTCCTGTACTAAATAATGCTTTAATATACTTGGTATATTAAATATGCGGTTCATTTTTTTTGAAAGTTACATTCATCTTTGGAAGTACTAGCTTGATTATCAGCCATACGAGGTGTAGCTTCAGTTAAAAGAGTGTGAACTATCTACCGTAAATGTTTCTTTGTGTTTCACCCAAGTTCCTTCAGTGAGGATTTGAATGGGTCCCCAGGACAATAGCCCGTATATTACGTTTGGTCTTATAGGAAATCAAAAGACCTTATCATTGGAGTGATAAAACTAGACAGTACATCAGTCACACCCTTTATCAGAATGTCACTCCTTTCGTCATTCCAACATATAAAAATAACTAAAAAGTGGCATTAAAATCATTCCTTAGAACAAGTCATGTGAGGGGAAAAAATGGAATTTTTGTTTTTTTTTTTAAAAAAAGCAGGTGCTTTGGCAGGACATGGGTACATGGGCTCAGTAGGTCTCATCATTCCCATTGCACACAGCACATGAGCTAATACTAATTACTGTTACTAATTTACTTTATATCCTGCCTTTCTGCTCAGAGACCTGTGTTGGATGTACCTATGTTCTGTTTGCCTTTCTGCTATCCCTTTTTGAAAGTGAAAGGATCACAGACATTTTGAAGATTGTGCTTATAACATTCCATGCATAATGCAAGTCATATGCTTCAGATGTAATACTCCAATCCTAGGTTTATACGTGACTACCTTTTGGAAACTGTTTTTCCATTGCAGTTTGTACGAGAACACATCAAGAAAGTTCTCTGTTGATTTTCATCAAATGTTCTGCATGAGAGAGAAAAGTATCTATTATTATTATTATTATTATTATTTTTTATTATTATTATTAATAATATTTCTGCAAGGTGGACTTAGAGTCAATTGGTCTTATTCTTCTGACAAATGTAATTGGTGAATTTCAGAGTGCTGGGCACAGGATCCCCATATTCGTCCATCATTTACTATGATTCTTGAGCAGCTGACTGCCATTGAGGGGGCTGTACAGACTGAGATGCCTCAAGAATCTTTCCATTCTATGCAAGATGACTGGAAACTAGAAATCCAGCAGATATTCGATGAAGTGAGAACCAAGGAAAAAGTGAGTGAATTCTAAAGTACATTGAGATTGTGGGACTATACTTGCTTAAATAAAGTTTGTATAATCATTGGGGAGAGGTGCAGTAGCTCAGCAGTTAAGAAGCTCAGTTTGTCAACCTCGGCTCAAGACCTGAGCACTGTGCAACAGGGTGAGCTCCTGTTACTTGCCCCAGCTCCTGCCAACCTAGCAGTTTGAAAGGATGCAGATGCATGTAATAATAATAATAATAATAATAATAATAATAATAACAACAACAACAACAACAACAACAACAACAACAACCACTTGAACACCATTGGCATTGACAAATTTGCTATTAGTCAATTGCAAAAGGCGGCCTTACTAGGAACTGCTTCCATCCTGTGACAATACCTGTAATACCATCAAACATCCACATCTGCCTATCCCAGGTCCTGGGTAAGGACTCGATAGGTAGACAAAATTCCAAATCCAGTCTGAACATCTGGCTGACTGTGCGATGATCCATAATAATAATAATAAAGTTGGAAGAGACTTTGGAGGTCATCTAGTCCAACCCCCTGCTCAGGCAGAAAACCCTATACCATTTCAGACAAATAGCTGTCCAGTCTCTTCTTAAAAACTTCCAATGTTGCAGCATTAACCGCTTCTGGAGGCAGGTTGTTCCACTGGTTAATTGTTCTAACTATCAAGAAGTTTCTCTTTAGTTCTAGGTTGCTTGTCTCCTTGATTAGTTTCCATCTATTGCTTCTTGCCGTGCCTTCAGGTGCTTTGGAGAATAGACTCCCTCTTTTTTGTGGCAGCCCCTGAGATATGGAACAGTGCTATCATGTCCCCCCTCATCCTTCTTTTCATTAAAGTAGACATACCCAATTCCAACAACCGTTCCTTATATGTTTTAGTCTCCAGTCCCCTAATCATCTTTGTTGCTCTTCTCTGTTCTCTTTCTAGATTCTCAACATCTTTTTCATATTATGGTGACCAAAATTGGATGCAATATTCCAAGTGTGGCCATTGTAAAGTGGTATTAATACTTCACGTGATCTTGAGTCTATCCCTCTGTTAATGCAGCCCAGCACTGTGTTGGTTTTTTTGGCAGCTGCACCACACTGCTGGCTCATATTTAAGTTATTGTCCACTAGGACTCTGAGATCCTTCTCACAGTTACTACTATTAAGCAAGGTATCACCTATACTATACCTGTACATTTGGTTTTTCTTGCCTAAATGTAGAACCTTACTTTTTTCACCATTGAATTTCATTTTGTTAGATAGTGCCCAGTGTTCTAGTCTGTCCAGATCCTCCTGTATCTTAAGCCTGTCTTCTGGAGTGTTGGCTATTCCTGCCAGCTTGGTGTCGTCTGCAAATTTGATGAGTTACCCATTTATCCCCTCATCCAAATCGTTGGTGAAGATGTTGAAGAGCATTGGGCCTAGAACAGAGCACTGGGGCACCCCACTATACACTTCCCTCCATGTAGATGCAGTTTCATTGAAGACCACATGCTGAGTACAGCCGGTCAGCCAGCTATGAATCTATCTGGTGGTGATGCTGTCTAAACCACATTTTTCTATCTTATCAAGTAATAGGTTGTGATCTACTTTATCAAATGCCTTACTGAAGTCCAAGTAAATTATATCCACAGCATTCCTCTGGTCCACTAATTTTGTCACTTGGTCAAAGAATGCAATAAGATTTGTCTGGCATGATCTGTTTTTGGCAAACCCAGGTTGGCTTTTAGTAATGACTTTGTTTGCCTCTAGGTGTTTGCTGATTCGTTGTTTGATTATCTTTTCCACAATCTTCCCAGATATTGAGGTCAGGCTGATAGGTCTGTAATTTCCTGGATCCATTTTTTCCCTTTTTTGAAGATGGGAACTACATCAGCTCTTTTCCAGTCCTCTGGTAGTTCCCCAGTGCTCCAGGATCTTTGAAAAATATAGTTCAGTTGTTCTGAGATCACATCTGCCAGTTCCTTGAGAACTTTGGGGTGTAATCCATCTGGTCCTGGTGATTTGAACTCATCTAGGCTGGACAGGTGCTCACTTATCATTTTCTTGCCTATCTTAACGTGTATTTCTATTTTGTTTTTTATGGCACTATTTTTGATAGGTTGGACTATTTTTTCCTTTGTATAAAGACAGATGCAAAAAAAACGAGTTAAATAGTTCTGCTTTCTCCCTTTGCTTGCACCTTCTTGCCACTTTCCTCCACTAATGGACCAATCATTTCTTTAACTTTTTTCTTGTTTTTTACATGTTGAAAGAAGCTTTTTTTGTTATTTTTTACTTTGGTCGCAAGCCTTAGTTCATTTTGAGCCTTAGCTTTCCTCACTTCATCTTTGCACTTCATCTCGGGCTATTTGCTGATATTCTGCCTTAGTTATATGCCCCTCTTTCCACTTTTTATACTTGTCCTTTTTATCTTTCATTTTATCAGAGAATTCTTTATGCAGCCATGCTGGTTTCTTTTGAGAGCTGTTATTTTTCTTCTTTGTTGGTATTGTGCTAGACTAGGCTTTTATTATCTCACTTTTCAAAATTTCCCAAGCTTCTTGAGTTGTTTTCCCCTTGAGGATTCTCATCCATGGAATCCTTCCCAAGCCCTCTCTAAGTTTACTGAAATTAAGTCTCTTAAAGTCCAAGACTCTAGTTTGACTGTGTTCTATTGCTTGTGCTTTCATAATGTTGAATTCCAATATTGCATGATCACTTCCCCCAAGGTTCCTGTGGCTTCAACACCTTCTATCATTTCATCTCTGTTAGTGAGAATTAGATTCAATATGGCTAATCCCCTAGTTCTCTTCTCTACTTTTTGGGAGACAAGGTTGTCTGCTAGGTTTGCCAGGAATCTGTTTGATCTTCCACTTGGTGCAGAGTTTGTCTCCCAGTTGATGTCAGGGTAATTAAAGTCCCCCATTACTATTATTTTTTTTAATAAGTTTTTATTGAGTACAAAGAAAAAAAAGGATTAAAAACATTAAACATGGTAAATCGTCTTTGACTGACATCTCTGTCCATATTGTACATTAATTACATACAATATATCTATATACAACTATACATTTCTGGTCTCTATCTTAACTTATCTCTTTACTGTGACCTCCATTTTTTCCCTCCATCTATAAAATTTATTCCATATTCGATAAAATTCTGTTTCTTCCTGATTTTTTAATCTTTTAGTTATCCTATCTAGTTCTGCACAATACATAATTTTCTTTATTAGTGCTTCCCCACTTGGTACTTCCATTGCTTTCCACTTTTGAGTAAATAGTATCCTTGCCGCCGTAACCACATGAATAATTAAATATGTGTCTTCTTTATTTACATTTTTCTCTAGTATTCCTAATAGTAATATCTGAGGTTTGTATTGAATGTTTTACCTAGTCATTTCTATTGCCCATTCCCAAACCATACGCCAGTACACCTGTGCTTCTCTACATGTCCACTATACATGAAAAAAGGTGCCCTTTTCTTTTTTACATTTCCAACACATACAGTAGATTAATATCCATTATTCATTTTGGCTAATCTGGCCGGAGGGAGATGCCATCTGTAAACCATCTTATACAGGTTTTCTTTATATGATGTCACCAATGTGATTTTGTTATTTTGCTCCCATAGATCCATATTTATATTATATCCTAGATCTATTGCCCATGTCACCATTGTTTCTTTAACCTGCTTCTCATATAGCTTATATTCCAATAGGTGTTTATAAATATTCTTTATTTGTTTTTTCTCCGGGCCTAGCAGTATTTTATCTAATCCCGTATTTTGTCTGTTAATATCCCATTCTTGCTTATCCTTCAGGTATCTTGCTTGTATCTGGAGATAAGACCACCACTCCATGTCTATTCCTTGTTTTAGTTCTTGTTTTTGTTTTAAATAACCTTCTTCTGTCTGGATGTCTTTATATATAATAGCTTTGTCTTTCCTATACAGATTGGGATATGTGACTGCCTCCAATGGCGATAGCCAAGCCGGAATCTTTGTGTAATATTGATGTTTAACTATATTCCAGCTTTTTATTAATTCTTGTCGGACCTTATGTCTTAAAAAATATTGGTGGTTTCTGCTTTGCCCCATCCATATGTGAGCATGCCAACCCTGCTGGAGGTCATAACCCCCATTACTATTGTGATGTGCTTCCTACATACTTTAGTTAGCTGACTAGCAAAAAGTTCATTTATTTCCTCTGTTTGGTTGGGTGGCCTATAGTATACACCTACGACAATGTCATTTCCCCCCCTTTCATATTAACCCAAATGCATTCAAGATAAATAGGTATCGCTTCAGTAGGAAGGTTACTGCATTCCATATTTTTATGTTGGCCACATGATGACAGAAATGTGTCTCAGACAACGCAGGTTCCTTCTGCTGGGAATTGGAGATGAGCACCATCCCTTTGAGTCAGTCACGACTGGACAAGAAAAACCATTAAACTTTTTTTTTTCTAAATCAGTGGTGCTCTTTACCCGATTGTTTGTTCTCATTTACCATTATGACATTTAGTTCTTAAGACTGGCTGCCATTTTTGTTGTTATTATTATCATTTTTTTAAAAAGTTCCTTTTCAGAACAAATAGTTTGAGTAGTTCTTTGAATATTTTGGAGTTTGCCTCATTTCCAAACAGTGAATTGAGAATTCCTAGAATTTTAAGAATTACCTAGGTCTTTGGGGCAGATGAGGGGCCCAGATTTATTGTTATAATTGAGACAGCTCTGGAGGTTGATGCTTAAAACTTACTTGGTTTATTGGTTTCCAACATCCCAGGAAACAACCAAAGTTAATTATTTATTTGTGTGTTTAATTTATTTGCCACCTATCTCACTGTGGGGCTATTCTAGGAGGTTTACAATAATAACAAGAAGAAAATGAAAGGAGTGTAAACAGGACTAAAATAATAGAACAGTAAAATAAACAATGAAAAAGGAACACAACAAGAATACCTCAATGTGATAACCAAATAGATGGATGAGTGGAGAGCAGCGAACAAGAAGGGGAGGGGGACTTTGCCATCAGTCCAGCATCCACCTCCAGTGTGGAACTCCCCATTTGGTTCCTAGGCCAACCAGCAGAGCCAGCTCTTCAAACTCTTGTTGAAAGGATGGTGGGGGAGCGCAGATCTTAGTTTAGAGGGTAAGATTTTCCAAAGACTGGGCACTGCAATAGAGAAGGCTCTTCTTCCTTATCCTCATAGTTGGAGTTCTTTGACAGATAGGATCCGAAGTAGGCCATCTCTGCTGGCATGATTAGGACATACTTGTCCTAGCGGGATGATGCAGTTCATCAGGTAGCTTGGACCCATGCCATTACGGGCTTTAAAGGTCATAACCAACACCAATATAGTCATCCTTAGGAAAATCAGTTGCAGCAAGAAGGATGAAGCCTATACAAAGGAATGATTAATAGTCTAGAACAGTGGTTCTCAACCTTTTTAATGCCGCGACCCCCAACCGATCGTAAGTCGAGGACTACTCAACTGGTTGTAAGTCGAGGACTACTCAACTAGTGCAGCACCGTTTGCAGAATGGGACTTTGGCGGGCTCAGCAGGGCAGAGACAGCCTGGACAATTCCTATTGGCTTTTGAAAGCCAATAGAATTAGACTCTATTCAAGAGAGTCTATTCTATTGGCTTTCAAAAGCCAATAGAATAAAAGGGAGTAGCACAGCTAAGGAAAAGGGGAGAAAAAATGGCGGACTGTGTTGTTTGGTGACCTCCGTGAAATGGTCATTCGACCCCAAATGGGGTCCCGACCCACAGGTTGAGAACCACTGGTCTAGAAATTGGTTTTGTATTCTGTATAGTGAAAAATAAAAATATCCTGCTTGTTATCCCTCTGATTTTATAACATATGCATAAAATGAAGCAGGTTACACGTTCTTCATTTACACATCTTAATGGAAAACTTTCCATGCTTGTCAGTTTAACTGAAACTTGTTATTTACATTTAAATTTCACAGGCAGGAATGCTACCCTTGGGGACTGCCATGTCTGTTACATTCTAATTAGCTGGTACCTTACTGAAAATGATTATTTCTTTCTTCTCTCCTCCAACAGCAGAATTATGCTAAAATAATAACATAGACACAGACTTTGTAATCTCTTGCAGAAGTTAGCAAGAAACCCAAGTGATAGGGGGAAACAATACTGATTAATAACAATAATATGGCAAATGGAAGCAAAGATAGCACCAAGAATAATAGGTGCCTTGAGTGCAATTCCAAAACATCTGGAGCATCACGCGATCCCCACTGACTTTCTCCCTGCTAGTTTCCCAGAGGTTTCTCTACAACTTTCAGCTGAAAAAAGCTTAGCCAAATTCTTTACAAATAGAAAATCGGCTGCCTCCAATTAGCCATGTTTTGTACATGCTATACAGTGGGGGTTCTCCTGTTTAGATAATTGCTAAATAACATCACTGTGAATGTACCCATTTATTTATTTAATTAATATATAGGACCCTCCTTCTCATATGCATGGTTCTGGGCAGCTAACAATTAAAAAAATAAATAAAAACAGACTAAAAACACAACCAATGATTAATACCAATAAATAACACCACACAATATGAAATAGCAGCCAAGAATAATTTAACAGGTCACAGTTAATATAACCTAAAATCAGTATCACCCCCAGTTGGGCTTTGGGATTGATGGCAAAGGCATGTTTTTAATGCCTTGTCAAAAGCCAGCAGGGTCAGGACAAATCTGAGCTGGGGGGGAGGGGGAATGATGTTTCAAAGGGTGGGTGCCATGGCAAAAAAGAGCCTTCTCCTGGGTCCCGTTATATAGTGTTCTCTCATGGACAGGACCCAGATCAAGCCTCTCCTGCCAGATCCATTGGGTTGGGTAGACAGCACTGGAGTGAGAAGGTCCACCTTGTTCATCAGGAGGCAGAAGATAATGTTCTAACCACTATTTCCATTATAATTGTTAGGAGCTGAGGTCAAGGGAAGAAGAATTAACAAGAGCTGCTCTTCATCAGAAATCCCAAGAAGAGTTGCTGAAACGACGAGAGCAGCAGCTAGCAGAACGGGAGATTGACGTACTGGAACGTGAATTGAATATATTGATATTCCAGTTAAATCAAGAGAAGCCTAACGTTAAGAAGAGAAAGGGGAAATTTAAAAAAAGTCGATTAAAACTTAAAGATGGGAACAGAATTAGTCTGCCTTCAGGTTTGTTCCTTTTTCCTGCCCTTACCTTGAGCAGCTTTATTTAAGACAAGTAGTGCATTTGAATTAAGACAAGCGTGTTGAATTCAGTTGCTGACAATTTCAGAATTGCCATATTAAAAGCCAGTAGCATCATCTCAGGTAGATGTTCAGAGGGGTGCTTTCTTGGACAAAGGTCCAAGTGATTGCCATTCACTTCTAGAAACAAACCCAACTGAAACAAAACCAACCAACTTTGCTTTGCTTTGCCCTGCTTTGCAGCTCCTTTTCAGAACCACTTCTCTGGGGGTACTTGTCAATTTCTGCTGGAGGACACCATGTTCAGCTTCTTTTGGCCTTACCTCCCAAAAACATTGGTGAATGGAACAGGAGACCATTTGCCTTTTTCTGTGCACTGTGGAGAAACCATGGGATTGACAAATGGCATGTGACTTTTCTTGCTTTGGCAAGGGATAGAAAAGGCAGGAAGAAGCTTCAGTGTTAGGTGAAGTGCCTGGTTGAAGCAATTGATGTGGTATCTTTGCTTAGACCAAAAGAATCACATCACCTCCGTGGCATAATGTCAGAGTGAATCTAAGTTGCCTTGTATAAACCTAGTGCCATAATCTCAAATCCCCAAACGGGGCACTATTAGATGCATGCAAGACATTAGTAAATTCTGAAGAGAGTTAGAAGTGTTGCTTGTTCTACATAGAGTTCTGATCCACTTTTTAGTTATAAAAACTTCATGAAAACAGAAAGCTTATATGTCACTATACTGAGGATAATTGTTTGAAGTAGGGCCCCATAACATGCATTTCTATGAATATCAATGCTTCGGGCCTCTTTGAGAACACTAAAGGGCAACAAAGATGGATAACACTCCTATTAGTTGGACAAATTATTTTCAAGTCTTTTGTCTCTTTTTTGCACTTAGTTGCAATTTAGAAGAACCCATGAAAGTACATAAACAACTCAAATTTCAATGTGTCTGATGAAATTAGAATTGCTTCTTTTTGATGGCATTAATATTACTTATTTATAATACTTTCTAATAAGGTGCTATTATATATTTAATTTGAAAAAGAGATGGATTAAAACACTTCCTGCTCTATACCCACAATGCTTTATATTATATTAGGTAACTAATTAGGAAAAGGAAAGTTTTATGCACACTCTCCTTTATTCATGTGTGTTTCTTAGCTTATATGATTTTTTTGAGCTTTTAAAAAAGAAGATAAGAACTAATTCAGACTAATATAAAGTAGGGAAGAAAAAAGAAAGAAATCAAAGAAAAGGTGCAAGAAAAGAAAAAAAAGTTGAGGAAAAATTGAAAAGGAAGGCAGGAAAAAAGGGGCTTCCAAAATTCTTCACAGCATTTATAAGTACATCCATGTGGTGTTTCTGTTCACGCTTCTGTGTCCTTAGTCTTTCTGTTAACAACATCATTTCAATAACCTGTGCTATTTATCAGTTATGTCTCATCTTTCTCAGAATTGTTGCTATATTAATTATCTATAATTTACCTTTTGCACACTATGCATTTTCATAACAGACTGATTTGAGAGCTGCTGCTACTGTGAGCTGTTTATGAGTGCTGTTTCTATTAGATGTTTGCTATTCTGCTTATAAGAATCTGTTTCCATTCACATCATAATGCTTCTCTGGCACAGCAGAGCTAACTACTGAAGAAAGTCAGTTCTCCACAATACATACTTTGAAAATCACATTCCAATCTCCAGTCAAATAGGAAACTTCTCGGATAATTAATCTGCCTCTTAAGGTAGTTATGCAGAAACACTGCAATACCAAACCATTTTTTAAAACTGCATTTGAGACAGTCTTGACTATTGCTGACTGCATGGACAAGTTTCTGCAGTTTTCTTGGCAAGATTTCAGAACTTGTCCTTGCCTCTTTCCTAAGGCTGAGAGAGAGTGACTGGGCCAAGGTCACCCAGAAGGCATTGTGCCTAAAGCAGGCCCAGAACTAGTTTCTGGTTTCTTAACCATTGCACCAAATTGGCTTTCCTTAAAGAATTTGTAAGTTAATATGGTCTTTAAGCTCTTATTAGTGAAGGATTTTTCTTAGGAATGTGCTAAAATTCAATATTGTATGTGTATCTATTTAATATAATGCAGCCAGATAGTCTCTTGTTGAAATTTTATTTTGAAACATTTCAACTTAACCTGTCTTTTTTATTTATAACAGATTTTCAGCATAAAATCACAGTGCAAGCTTCCCCAAATATAGATAAGCGCAGAAGTTTAAACAGTAATAGTTCTAGTCCACCAAGTAGTCCTCCAATAATTCCTCGCCTTCGAGCTATACAATGTAAGTTTAAAAAAAATGAGTATTTCTATCCTGTTGATCTTGATACATTTTACAATAATTTTTTATCACTCTGAAAAATATTTCGTACTGTTAAGTGTAATCTTAAACTTGTTTGACTAGAAAAAACTGAACTGACCACATTGTGACCTATTTCTGCAGAAAATTACATTGAGTAACATCACAGAATGAAAAAAAAATAATGATTATTGGTTAATTTCAGTAATTCTACGAATGTGTAGTAATATGGTAAATTCTGGTGCTGATATAACCATTAATTGTGATCTGAAGTGGAGTTAAACCAGTGGTTTTCAACCTGTGGGTCGGGACCCCATTTGGGGTCGAACGACCATTTCACGGGGGTCGCCAAACAATACAGTCTGCCATTTTTCCCCACTTTTCCTTAGCTGTGCTACTCCCTTTTATTCTATTGGCTTTTGAAAGCCAATAGAATAGACTCTCTTGAATAGAGTCTAATTCTATTGGCTTTCAAAAGCCAATAGGAATTGTCCAGGCTGTCTCTGCCCTGCTGAGCCCGCCAAAGTCCCATTCTGCAAACAGTGCTGCACCAGTTGAGTAGTTCTCGACTTACGACCAGTTGAGTAGTCCTCGACTTACGACCGGCTGGGGGTCGTGGCATTAAAAAGGTTGAGAACCACTGAGTTAAACCATCACAGTGATAGTTCAAATTAAATTAATTCTATTTTTCTTTCATCTAATCTCTGCTTGTGTCCCTAAATATGGTGCCCTCCACTCACACACACAAACCAAGAGACAACAATGGAACTGGCTATTTAATCAGGTGTAGCACTTTGGATAAATTGGGAAAAGACTGGATACTTTCATGCTCCCTTAATCATTCCTAAGGTTTACTTTTACATAAGTCTTGTAGAGTCAATTCATGTAAATTCTTTTGCCTTGTAGAAAATATATTGTCAGTATCTCTGATTAATATAAAAGGTTGGTTGGGTATATATGTACACTGTCACTCATCTCAGGAACACAAAGCAAATAAAAGCAATATATAAGAAGACTGCGTAACATGCTAAGCTATTAAAAGGGAAAATGAGGAAAAAATAGAATTCAGTTCTTTTTCTTTTTTTTCTTAAATTGGGCCTTTCCCCATTGCTGAATTAAAATGTTTCCACTTGAGTTGGCACAAAACTATTCAGGCAGTTATTTTGCTATTTTCCATGCCCATCCCATCCTACCACCTGTTTTGACTGCGCCAAATAGTGCTATCTTGATTTTGCTTGTTCACCAGTTGATAGGCAAAGTGATTAGGTAATTCCTGTGTCGTCCTGTTTCTGCATGCCAGCAGCAAGTGGAAAAACATCCATTAAATATAGCATGACCTGACCTGTCTTCTTAGGCTTCTTCTCATGCCCATTCTTCTACACCCTATTTTGTTGTAACCCAAGTGGAATAAAATGTTTTAAAATGGGGGTGGTGACAGAAGATGAATAACAGCAATTTTACTTAGAATGTATTTCTTCATTCCTTCTTGTCTTTCCTTTATATAGGCAATTGATGCTGACTTCCAGCTTCCTCTACATTTTGTTGAGGAGGCAGTAGGAAAGATGATTCATTCACCATTCTACTGCTTAATTAATACATGATTGGTCTAAACCAGTAATGGCTGTATAGTTAAATCACCTAGCATTACTGCCAACTGAGCATTATTGGCTTAAACTCTTTAGGGAATCAATGGAGAATGGTAGCAGATATGTAACCAGGGAGGCACATCAACCTGAAATGTTCAACAATCAGTGTTAATCAGTGTAATAGACAGCAAAACACAACAGATTTTACACACTTCACAACTGTGTTTGGATGCTATCAGCTTAATGGGGAAGCCAGATTCACTTAATATCTGGGTTATTAACTTATAAACTGCAGTGATTCACTTAACAACTGAGGCAAGAAAGGTTGTAAAATGGAGCAAAATTCACTTAACAAATGTCTCATTTAACAACAGAAATTTTGGGCTCAATTGTGCTCATATGTCAAGGACTACTTGTACTTGACATCCGTACAACTGGGTGTAAAATAAATCTCATTCGCAGGCTGGGCATTAAAAAAAAGATAGTGTTTAGGGAGAGGGCAGAAAAAAAAGATTTTGCCAGTCATGTTTTTGCTGGAGTTGAATGTAAATGGGGAAAGCACTAAAGAGTCCACCTCTGGTCCTGGTGACCAACCCAGATTGGATCCTGCAACATTATCCTGGGACATGTGTTCATTTGTGCAAAGGACTGAAAATATCAATATATCTTTGTACTGGTGAGGTTGTGGATATATGTAATTTCATCCTTCACCAGAGACTTTGGACCCAAACAGAAGTGAGGTTCCAGGAAGGAATTTATGAATGTTACACAAGACTCTTTGGCCAAGAGGACATTGTCAAAGGCAGGGACTACTGCAGTTACTCATTTTATCTACCAGCTCTGCTGATACCAGTATATTTGCACATTTGTAACTGGGCACACAGTTATAGCTGTTAATTGTTGAGGTGGAAAATTTAAAATTGCTTACTTATACAGTTTTGTACGTTGCACTTCTGTAGTATAAACAAGTGTCTTGTTGGATCAAGACATGGTCCATCAGTCAAGCATTTTGTTTCCAAAATTGGCAAGCCAGAAGCTTCCTCAAATTCACAGTGAGGGGTAAATAAAGTCATGTGTTTCCCTCAGCAGAATTGATTTCTGCTGATAGAATTGGAGAGAATGATTGCTGTTTCCCTGCAGCTTTTCACGTTTGCCCAAACTCTCCTCCAGAAGATTGTTTAACCCCCAGAATAGATGTTGAGGCAGAGCAAGAAGAGGAAGAAATACTGTTGTGTGAATAGATTTTCGCCCATGTCACATTCAACCACTCCAAAAGATATATATCTGACAAAAGTCTTCTCTGTTGATTATTCTTAGCATCTTGAACTTTGAACTTATTGATTCCAATTATGGAATTTCTGTGTTATTTTAATTACAAAGAAGTAATTGACTGGATTTGACAATTCACAAAAGAGAAACACACAATTTTCAGTTTCTATAAGTAACAGGATGCCAGATGTGCACTGGCCAAGTGAGATCATTACACATAAGCATAATTGAGTTGTGTCTGGAGAATTTGAAATGCTGCTTTCATGTTAATGTTTAAATTTTTAAAAAATCTACATTTGCCTTTAGAAAGGCTGAAAAAAAATATGTGAACAGTGCATGTTGGCATGGAACTTGTCCTTTCCAGCAAAGGAAAAGAAGGGAGTGTTACATTCAGCTTAAATCTCAGTATTTTCCCATTGCATTCAGTCATTAATGCTGGTTAATTATTCAGTGTGTTCTGTTTGAGGATAATAAATTATCACTCCTGTTTCCCAGCACTGAAAGAGGGTATTGTCTGTCAGTTTTTCAACCTGGATGTCTTGCAAACAAAAGATTATTTTCTTCACTTTGAACACCATTTTCTTAATCCTTTGTTCCCATTATCTTCTATTCCCTCAGAGTTAATAGATAAAGTTGAAGGAGAGCTCTTCCCAACATTAAAATTTGTGTATTTATTTGGGTAAAGTTGAAGCCATTTTCTTACTCATGCAGCATATTTTCTCCCCTGCTTTGGGTTGTACTGCAATCACACAATTTAAATGGTTGATATACCACTACAGATATCCTTTTTTTTTTATCTTTACCAAGACACTTTTTGTGTAGAAGGAAATTTCAAGAGGGATCACATCCACTTTTAACAAAATATTTTTTTACAAATTGGGAAATTAATAGTTCTATAATTTTTATTAAGGATTATATAAAACAGATTTAAAAACCTAATTCAAAAGTACATTTTAAAAAAGGAAAAACATTTAAAAAGTGCAGGAGGGCCCCCAAAAGAAGAAAAAAGAAATAAATTCTAATAAGAAATTTATATACAGCAAGTACGGTATATTCAACGTTAATTGCATCTTTGTTCTATACCTCACCTCATTTTCTATAAACTCATCTTTAAATCTCTAAACAGAGAATCTCCTTAATAATCAGCAAAGATCCAGATTTTTTTTTTTACAAAAAAATATGTAGTCTCTCTCCATTTAGTCTCCATTTAGTCTAAGTGACTCAGTGTTTCTCAACCTTGACAATTTTAAGGCATGTGGACTTCAACTCCCAGAATTCCACAGCCAGCAATGCTGGCTGTGGAATTCTGGGAGTTGAAGTCCACATGCCTTAAAATTGTCAAGGTTGAGAAACACTACATCTACTGTCTCTTAACAATTAAACATTTAAAAAAGAATGAAAAACTATTAAACTTTACCAGAAATAATAAACTCTTAAATATTAAAAACAATATAAATATTACAAACTAGTCCATTACATTATTAAACATTTCCAAAAAAACCACAATCCAAATAACCATTAAGCCTTACCAGAAATAGCAACTCATTATTTAAATATAATTAAATAAACTGGTTTTATATAGTTTTTCCCCTTTTTCCTCCTGGGCTTCTTAATTCCCATAGATATAATTCTGACTCCTGCTTTCTTCTACAGTCTTTGTCTCTTCTCTGAAAATTCTTATTTTCATCCAAGTCCACTTGTAATTTCTATGAATTAGCGCCAGTAAATTTCCTATATTTCAGTTTAAAAGGATAATTGTCATGATGAGTCTGAGGCTCCAACAAATAGAAAGTTTACTAAGATTATATTAAATATTTTTTTTTTGAAAATTAGATTGGGCTCTTGGTTTCTTTCAGAGATCATCAAATGGGCAAAATAAATTACTGAGTTTATAATTCTTGCGTGAAGCAGATAAGAGTGTAGGTTTCACCCTGATCCCAATCAGATTCAGTTCAAAATAGAAACTACTTATCAGAATTGCTTGAAATTTTAAAAAATGCACATGCCCTTAGGTAAATTGCATGCATAGCCATCTTCTGCATTTAGATTGTTCCTGGGACTCCTAGAACTTGCAAATTGAAAAAGATCTTAGGATACACTATCATATGGTTTTCTCCCTTCTTCATTTGTTTCCTGTGGAAGGAGTCTGTGTCTTAGTCATTGGGACCCAACATTGATAATCTTAAATTAATAGCAAGTACTATTAGATGCCCCCCTGGACAATGATGGCAGCAATTTTTCTAGAAATTTCTCACCCAACAATTGGGAATCATCAGAACCAGGGGCATGAATTACAGAGGTTTCTTAGAGAAAGAGGAACTTTATATTAAGCAAAGTACTTCCACTGATTTTTTTTTTTTGGCAATATCCCCATTTACCATAGTCCATCTAGCCCATTCTAGAGTGTCCTAAAAACTTTACTGTTTTCAAGAGTGTGCAGGAAGTATAAATTAATTTTTGTATCCTCTGTGTACTTACAGATATTAGAAAAAATGCAGTAATATGTAAAACTGTCATTCTCACAATCATGCCCAGGTTGTCATTGTTATCTTCTCACTGCCTTCAGAACTGTTTCCATTGCTGTGCAGTATAAGAGAGTTGTGTAGCAATGTCGAAGTCAATATTTTTTTATATAGATGGATAAACTGACTCAAATCAAATAAATGCCCAAGGTATGCTGCCGAGATTGGATAAGTGCTACAAAATCATCAATGGAGATTTCACACTATTAAATAGCAATTAAACTATTGAGGGAAGTATTTCAAATTGTAGGACTGACTTACTTAAAGATGGTTCGCCAAGTACTTATATATATTTTTTGTTTATTGTAGCTATATCTGGCTTTTCCCCCAGGAGCTCAGGCCAACATAAATTGTATTCCATCTTTTCTTACTACAGCCTTGTAGAATAGGATTCTCTTAGACGGGGTGATTGGTCATAATCATCCAGTGAATGTTCTGGTCTTAGAAAAGACTAGATCCTCAATCTCCTCAGCCCTCGTCCTGCATGAAAAAACTGTATACGGATAGTCTTTGATTTACAATCATTTGCTTAGTGACCATTCAAAGTTAGGATGGCACTGAAAAAAGTATCATGATGGTTTTTCACACTTATGACTGTTGCATCCTCATGGTGACTTGATCAAAATTCGGGCACTTGGCATGTATTTATGATAGTTGCACTGCCCCAGGATCACATGATCACCATTGGTAACCTTCCCAGCTGGCTTCTGACAAACTAAGCCAATGGGGAAAGCCAGATTTGCTTATTGAACGCCTGATTCACTTAACAAATGAAATGATTCACTTTAGAACTGTGGCAAAAAAGGTCATAAAATGGGACAAAACTCACTTAACAACTGTCCTGCTTAGCAATGGAACTTTGGGGCTCAACTTTGGGTTGTAAGTCGAAGGCTACATGGAATTGTTCTCATGCTGTTCTCTGCCACACTTTGTTAAGCCATTCCTAGCATGCAATCGTTGGGCACTGAGAGCTCCATTTGAGAAAATTTTTGAAACTAGTGTTGATTTACTATCTAGGCCAGGGGTAGGCAACCTCGGCTCTTTTATGACTCATGGACTTCAACTCCCAGAATTCCTGAGCCAGCATAGCTGGCTCAGGAATTCTGGGAGTTGAAGTCCATGAGTCATAAAAGAGCCCAGGGTGCCTACCCCTGATCTAGGCAAAGTGCCACTGGGTGGATTCATGTATATTCTCTTAATTGTTTCTTCAGTGATTTCCAAAACTGACTCAGGTACAGCTAACGGGCAAAGAAACAGTATATATGTGTACCAACAAGATGTAGATATCACAAGTGAATATGAACTTCCCTCTGGGGTTAAGACAAAAGGCAAGCTGATATTCACTAATACAAGGTGTTGGTTGGCTTTCTTAGCTAAATTTGTGTAAAGCGATACGCTGAATACTTACTTGGATATCCAGCGATTTCGGATTAATGGAAATATTATATTTGCGCATTAAGTCTTGACTTTCTCATCGAAGACATTATTTCAGTTATATCTAATGAAAGTATTCAGAAATAGTAGCTGATCTGAATTTATCTAAAAATAAAGAAAAATTAAAAGCATGAAAAACCACTATCTGTTGATTGACTTTCTTTTCTTACCCTCTTACCTTGGTAGATTTATTCTTTGCCTGCTTAATTTGATCACCTTCTTACCTGTACTTTGGAAGGGAAAAATGTCTCTATGGTGGTACTGTTATGCAAATCTTACGGTAGGTGCCGAATTCTTGCTGAGATCTTTTATCTTTTTCCAGTAACCTCAGATGAGAGCAACCGAACATGGGGGAAAAGCACAGCTTACCACCAGGAAGAATTTGAAGATGTGAAAAGAAACTTTAAAAAGAAAGGTTGCACTTGGGGACCAAACTCAGTTCAAACAAAAGAGCGTGCAGACTGCAAAGAGAGGTATAGTTGATGGGCACCATAAGAATGGACGATACAGGGTGTCTATGAAAAATTCCTAGATATTGTACTTCTTAGGAAGTTTAATCATGTGTAGATTGGATGGGAGACAATGAAAATCACACAACTGTGAAGACACTCAAATAACCATAGCTGCATGAATGGACAAGTCAAAAGTACAATTGCACATGTTGGACTGAATATTCAAGAGTTCTCTGTGTCAAAATATGCAGATTCAATAAGGGAAAGCATTTAGTTGAAAATTTGAGGACTGATACTTAAACCAAATCTCTTTCTCAGCTCTGCATCCCAAATACTTAAGAACATCCCCTACAAAATGGAGCAAAACAGATGCCGTACAGATTTAGGATGAGAGTATATCAAAGTCCTCTACTTTCTCTTTAGTTTGGGAAAGAGAATCTTGGCTAGAGAAAATATGGCAACTTAGGTCTTACTTTTTCAATATATATTTAGGAAAAAAAAATTTTTTTTCAATGCAAAGTTTATTTAGAAACTCATATCAGTTGTAGTACTGGAGTACTACATATTTTTTCTGAACTTGTAAAAAATATAAGGACCAGCTTATTTTTTTTTTTCAGAATCATAGTTAGTAGCTAAGCTGCAGGTCTTTAATGTAATTGATAGTTCTCAACTTCTTCTAACAATAACTTTATCCAGAAAAAGCAAACTACCGTGGGACAGCCTTAGATAATTAACTCTTCTCATCCTGTAATTTTGTGCTGGTAATTCATGTTTGCATTTAGTAAGTAGTAGGGGTGTTTTTTGTTTGTTTTGTTTTTTTAAAAAGGGTTTCTATCCCCATTTCCAATTTACTGATATAAATTGCAATACACAATCGTTGCTTTTTATGCCTAATATTCCCAATGAAGGAAGTACAGAGGTGCCCACTAGCTTGCTTTATTACTGAATATGGTGTGCAAAATAGCTCTCAGAACACTTCTAGGACAGATATTGTGGACTTAGTCAGCCTATATAATCAGTCCAATATTGTAGCAAAGTCTCAATATATTCTGCTGTGCAGGAAAAACAGAGATGCATTCTTCATTTTATTTACTATGTCTTTAGAATCATATTTGTCTAAAAAAGAGTAATGCTTGTTATAATTATTCTGATTCCAGAATAAGACCTCTCTCCGATGGTGGTAGTCCTTGGTCAGCACTTTTGATGAAGAACCATAAAGATGTCCCATTAGCTTCTTTGTTCATGGACCAAGGTAGGTGTTGAAATAGAGTTACTTTCAGGCCCTAGAAGAGAAGAGCACTCAGATGCTCAGGGGGCCGTAAGCCATAAATCGTAACTTCTAAACAGCATTGGCATGATTTTTTAGTGAGCTACCAAAATTCCTGTCCACTACTAAAATTTGGCAGCAAATATTTGTAAAGGTTTTGTTTAAATATTTTGTTTGTTTCTTTATATGTACCTTCAATGTATTAAAGATGTACATCCTTTTTAAAATTCGATCCTACTCATTTTTCCATTTGATCCTGCCTACTTTTTATGGACTTGGTGTCTTTTTGGGTACAGAGTTCACTCTGGTACATAAGACTGAAATACAGTTTTCAGTCCAGGGAAGCCCTATTCCTATGTTAGACTTTATTGTTTTGAAACTGGACATCAAGATTTCATATATACTGAAAGCATTTAGCAGGGCAGGGAATGTATGGACTGGAATTCCCAGTATTAACTACATTGCTATCCTGACCAATTCTACATTTTGCAAGGGAAGGAAATCTAAGTCTTCTTATGCTGATACATGGGGATTATATTCAGTGGTATCCTTCTGTTACTGGAACTGATGGATCAAATTCCCACCCACTTCCATGGTGCCCCAGTTCTGTGCTGGAGGATAGGGAGATTTCTTTAGAGCAGATATAGAAGGCATAAGAGGAACATTGGGAAGTTCTTGTTCTATCAAGAGAATTCTGCTAGCTCGATGTAGAATTTACCTCTATTCCATATTTATCAAATATGCCTTGCCTTCCCTAAAATATAGTTGGTGTTTATAGGAGTGATTGCAGACAATATTTTATCTTGTCATGTGCTCTCAGCAGTAAATTCAAATCCAGGCAGTCATCCTGAATCTGAGGTCCTTAATGGAACAGTTGAGATTAAGCCTATACACACTAAATTCTTTTGGACACAGAGATAATTGTTTAGATATTTCATTCAATTGACATTCATAAAAATGGAAGGGGATTGCACATAGAAGATACAGTGTTGTTTCACAGCAAAGGAAAAAAATTCTGAAAAACATGGAATCTAAAAAAAAAATCTAGCAGTGAGGTTTTTAAGTTATTATCTCGCTTTCTTTTCACTAGTCAGGAATTTTGTATTACTGTGTGATACAATAAACCAGTGTTTCCCAAACTTGACAATTTTAAGGCATGAGGACTTCAACTCCCAGAAATCCACAGCCAGCGTTGCTGGCTGTGGAATTCTGGGAGTTGAAGTCCACATGCCTTAACATTGTCAGGTTTGGGAAACACTGCAATAAACTCTTCTTTTTATTCAAGAACTACATCCTGACTGTACCATCATCATGCTATCTATAATTTCATATTAGTCATTTCAAAATATTTTAACTTTTGAATATAATACATATTCAATATACGTCAATCAATTTTGCATTTGTACAGAGCAGAAGCTTTCCCCCGAAGGCCTTGAACCTAAGCGACCAAAGCAGTTAAAATTGCCAAATCAGGCTTATATTGATCTACCTCTTTGGAAGGATGACCAAGAACTACCTTCTGCAGAACAAGACAGCTTTGAAGGAAATTCTGCAAATTCTGCAAATAGCACTCCACAAGTGACCCCAACAAACAGTACCAGCAGAATGTTACAGAAAAAGAAAACTGACACTGTGTTCTATGGTTGTGCTGTCCTTCTAGCCTCTATAGCTCTTGGCTTAGATATTAGGGAGCCAAACAGATTGCAAAGTGGGGATGAAATGTTGCCTAAGGAGGAAAAGAAGAAACGTGACAGCCTATTTCAGCGAGCATTGAAGTTTCGCAGAAGCGCAAGCCCTGTGAGATTGCAGCCTAAGAGAGAGGAGGCGTGTATCCCTTCATCGTCTCCACATGCAAGCACTGTGAACCTCCTGTCCATATCTTCCATTTCTACTAAATGCCTCCTTCAGTCTGACAACGAGGATGCCACTATGAGCACAGCGCCTGGCAATGGAGATGATGCTCCCATTGAATGTTTCTTGCCTGGAAGTCAGGCAGGCAAACAAGAACAACTAGCCAAAGTTGATTGCACTGTCAATCCTGATTTGCCATCTCCCAGTCTTCCTTTGAAAGAAGAACCTCAATCTGCGTCCAGTGCCATGTCTTCAAAAATCAAAGTGTGGGGTCATAGGCGGACCATGTCAGATGGAAATGCGCGTGATTCCATAAGTGAGTAAAATGGTATTTGTGGGGCGCAGGGATGGGTGGGTGGGAGAGATGGTTAAAAGTATGATGAATAATTCAAACAATATTGCACTTAATAAGCATCAGACAGAAAAGAAGCAGTGGGAATTATTGGGACTGAAAAATAGCTCCCCCGTGTTTGGACTTCAATATTTCAAGGTAAAAACTTAATATAGTAGTTGATTAGAAAGACTTTAGTCCAGTGATGGTGAACCTTTCAGAGACCGAGTGCCCAAAAACCGGCCTGTCCCCCCGGCCCAACCCCCACCCCGGCCCTGCTCCGCCCCCGCTCCACCCCCCCCCCCGCAGGGTCACTCACCACAGATCGCCAGACGGCCTTGCAGCGCCATGGCGGCCACACCCTCCGCCCACACCTCGCAGCATCATCTGCACATGATGGAGCGCGAGGGCGGAGACTTTTGCCCCTGCTGCCCGGCTGCCATGTGCTTGGCTGCGCTGCTCCGCATGGGACGCACCTGGGGAGACTCTCCTCTGGACAGGCTGCTGGTGAGGAGGGGGTTGCGGAGGTGAGGCGGGGCTGGGGAAACAGCACGTGTGCCCACTGAGAGGGCTCCAAGTGCCACCTCTAGCAGGCGTGCCATAGGTTCGCCACCACTGCTTTAGTCTCTTAAATTTCTATAGCTGTTGTCTCTCAGAGAAGACAAGCTAGAGGAAAAAGCAGGGTGTGAGGCAAAGAGATGGAGTTCTTAGAATGATTCAGTATCATGCTACTTCTTGTTGTGTAGTTAAATGTTAGTGATGGCTAATATATATGTTATTTTTATACTGTAGCAGCACTATATAACCTTGTTTTATATTTCTCTTCAATGTCTTTCTCTTCCACTCAGCTAATGGAATTTCAAATGAAACTCTTGAAAATCTGCATGCATCTGCTGTGCCACAAACAAACTTTCAAAATGACCTTTCACCAGGGAAGCAAGAAATTGTCAATATTGTTCCAAGACCTCGACCTTCTTCTTTAAGAAGCAGATTGGATCCCTGGCTGGCTATTTCTCAAAGTACAAAGCCAAACCCTTTTGAAATGGGTAATTTAGCAGTGGACAAAAATTCAAAGGCTAAGTCACTGACAGATACCAAGGAGAGAACTAAATTCCACATGCCCTCTTTATTGGATATGGATGTTGAAGGTCAGAATAGTGACTGTACTGTACCTTTGTGTAGGATGAAGAGTAAATCAGGCCGGCCATCAATATATGAACTGGAGAGAGAATTCTTGTCTTAAGTGCGTTGGAATTTTTAGCCTGTTTTAAGAATAAACTTTATGCTGCTCTTTTCTAAATGTTGTGATCAGTAGAGTTTGATATTATGCTAGATAGATGAAATATTACAGGCAATGATCAATCTGTAAGCCCATATGTAGTTTAATTGATTCTACCATCACTATCCTGAATGAATAGACATATGTGGATGTCAATAAAGTTTTTCACAATTTTGATTTTTCATTCTTCTTTGCCAAATGTCCAGCTGCTTTATTTAATTATTTTTCCCATTAACCATTTGAACTGCAATACATTCAAATCTCATTGCACTGAAAAGAGGTTTTCCTACAGAGAGAATTCCATTCTGAACTGTGGTTTTCATGAGACATACTTATAAAATTGTATTATCTTACCTTTAATATTACAATATTTGCTAATTACATTTGGCCAATATTCAATGGAAATGGCACAGTGACAATCATTTTAGGATGGTTTGTCAAAATCAAAATGAATGTTATATTAATTTTGACAAAGCAGTGTCGTATTAAAGCAATAACTTTTATAACTGAACTATATTTTGGCTAGGCAGCTTTCCGAGACAATAGTTTGATTAAAAATAATTTACGATTTTTCATGTAAATTGCTATTATCGGTGACTGGAGAATGCTTCAGTTTGCTTGTGTCAGTTGGCCTGGTTTTCCTATTTTTATAGTGAAGAGCATATAAATTGAATCATAGACTATGAAGTTCTTCTGACAGTAGTTATGGGGTAAATGGAAAAGATGGCGAGGAAAAATTTTATGCCAGTTTCCCTAAACTGAGTTCTTCAGACATGTCCAGTTTCAACTGTCACAATTTCCAAGTAGTGTGACCAAACTCACTTGGAGGACACTAAGCTGGGGAGGCTGATTTAGTATAACAAAAAGCTGTTAAGAGGATTTCAGGTATTTAAAAGGCCACTAGGAAAATATGTTTACTATGGCTGGCTTTTCCTATTCTGTCCATGGGCTTTAAAAAGTCTTATAAAGCTGGCATTTTGTCTTGTGTCAAAAATAGAGCTATTAATTATAATAAATTTTTAATTTATCTATTGATAGAGATTCACGTGGAAGTGATTACATGGACATTTTGATTTAAATTTTAGTTTGATCAATTATGATGCTACTGTATGCATTTTAGATGAGTTCTGGAATGCATTTTAAGATAGGAAGCATTATTCAAATATAAAACTTTTGAATGACACGTCGCTCTTCTAATGCCATTCTGATGGATTTGCCTATGTTGCAGAAATCATTTAACATGAAATTTTAATGTCCACTGGTGACATAAAGTGAAGGTCTAACCTAGAATAAAAAGTAAAAACAACAAGTAACAACAATAATAAATGCACATACGGGGCAGCTGCAAACCACAACAATCACAAATAACATCCTGTGTAGTAGGCATCAATCTCTTTCTTCCTGTTTGAGGCCTTTTCTCCCCTGGAGAGTCCTTTGATTTTCAGAAGTATCTGAGAGTTGCACAAGGGCGGGAGGTGGGAGGGGAACAAGGAGAGCTCGGGAGTTGAAATGTGAGATGAGATGAAGCAGCTGTCTCCGATGCCAGATTGGGGTGACAGTCCAAGAGTTTAGAAAATCATCGTCTGCTGCTGGTATATATGTGTTCTTTGCTCTAGATGGCCAGAGCTGGTGTGGGGCTGTGCTGAAGGAAATGCATAAGAGAGATAACAGGGCGACAAGAGTGGAGCTAATAAGGGAATAAGAACGGAATAGAATAGAATAGAATAGAATAGAATAGAATAGAATAGAATAGAATAGAATAGTTGGAAGGGACCTTGGAGATCTTCTACTCCAGCCCCCTATACCATTTCAGACAAGTGACTGTCTAGTCTCTTCTTAAAAACCTCCAGAGTAGAAGTTGTAGTAAGTGAGAGGTGAGACTGTATTCCACCTCCTGTTTCTGATGCTTCTACAAAGCCATTTGAAGACAAGAGAGCCAGCTGCTCAGAAACAGTGGAGCTGCTAGTCAGAACCAGTTCAAATCTTTAGATGCTGGTATCTTCCCTTACACAGTCCATTTTACCACCTCACCTGTTTGTTCTTTTCAGCAAAGTATTGCAACAAGGGCCACTATCCTGGCACAGAGCAATAGTCAAGAACGAAATAAGAAAATGTCCCTTTGGAGAGAGCAGGAAAGGCCTTTCTTGGGTTAGATAGACACTGCCTTTTACAATGAGCCTCTTAGTTGCAGTGAGGCTGTGAAATGATGTCTGATCTTCCAGTCAGTCAGAGTGGCAAGGTAACTATTGCAGCAACCAGAAAACCACCTGAAATGGATGTAACCATTCAAAAAAAAAAAAAAAAAGTGGCAGAAGAGCAAGAAACAGCTATTGTTGACTTTAGTTCCTTAAGCTTAGATGATCCTGGATTGTGGAACTGTTAAGAGTGATAACTTGAAATATTCCCTTATACTAGAGTTACAGCAAACAAAAACAAAAAAACCCACTTCATGTCCCCCAAACATGATGAGGCAAATAACAATATGTAACATATAACAATAATTTTAAAATTGTGTGTACAGTGGCAACAGTCTGGTACAGCCTCTTTGGAAAAAAAAAAGAAGAAATAGCGTACTTTTTTGTACACAAAATGCCACGTTGATAGAAAATTTAAAGCAAGCTGTAATTTTATGTTAGTTTTCTTTTAAAATAAAAAAAAACATTTTATTTCTGTGACTCTTTAGAGATGTGTATTGCTTTATCATTTCCTGCTAAGCATTAACTTTGAAAACTTCACATGTTGAACAGTTCTTTCATATATCACTCTTTTAAACAGTACAATTTTATCCTAAAAATCAAGTTATCCTAAAAATCAATGTTCATAGCATACAAGTGTTTTGGAAAGTCTGGATAAGTTTTGAAGGCAGCTGCTTAAGATGAGAATGATGGGTGCTGTTGTTTTTCTTGGGGAAAACAATTGGTTTCAATTCTCCATATGCCAAGGTTATCTGTTTCTTTCCCTTGTGAGTATCCCATTGGATTCAGGGGTTGGATTCAGGCACCGATCATGTGAAAAGGGGGCAGTTAACATTGATTAGGTGCTGCCACCTACCGAGATTGTTCTGGATGGGATATAGTTTTTGCTAAAATTGAGAATACTTCTTGATCTGCTGATTGCAGACATTATTATGTGATTTTTTCATTATTAACTTCTTAAAAGAGTTTTTTTTAATGAGTTTAAGGCCTTCTAAATATGTTGGGATCAAAAGTCCCAGGTTGGAGATGTAGCCTTATATATGGAGAACGGGATATTTACACAACAATATTAATTAGTAATTTGGAAGAAAAGCAAACAAAGAAAGATCAAAATATGGGCATTATACGAGTTTCAGATTTATTGTATGCATGCGAGAAGTTAAACAAAAATCTTACCAAACAAAACATTCGTTGTCTGGCAGGTAACATAGTGCCAACAATTATACTTTTCCCTCCCATGCTAAGCCTGTACAAAAATAGTGTGGTATTAAATTTTCCACATATGATTGCGGGAAAATGTCTATAGCCTATTTTGCATATGTCTAGTCATTTTTGGGAAGAAAACTAGAGTTATCCATTGCCAGAAGAAAAAAAAAAAACACTGGGAGAAAAAAACTGGTCAAGCCAGTTTAAAATTGAGTAGTTGACAGTCAAGCAGAGAGAGGCAGCTTGCCTCAGGGACAGCTCTGGCAGAAATCCATCTCAACTTAGAAATTTGCAGCTAGAAACTCACCTATTATACTACAGGTAGTCCTTGACTTACAACTGAGTCCAAAATTTCCATTGCTAAGCAAGATGGCTGTTAAGCGACTTTCACCCCATTTTATGACTTTCTTTCCTTCAGCTGTTAAGCAAATCACTGCAGTTGTTAAGTGAATCATGCAGTTGTTAAATGAATCTGGGTTCCCCCATTATCAGAAGTTAGCTAGGAAAGTCGCAAATGGCAATCACACGACCCTGAGACGTTGCAACTGTTGTAAATACAGTTCATGCTGGTTGCCTAGCACCTGAATTTTGATCACGTGACCATGGTGATATGGTGATGGTCATAAATGAGAGGACTACTCGTAAGTTGTTTTTGTCAGTGCTATTATAATTTTGAATGGTTGCCAAACAAATGGTTGTATATTAAGGATCATCTATTGACCTACAGTTCAGCTCAGAACTCAAAAGTTTCAAAATCATGTTGTACAAAGCTCAATCTGACAAGGTTTCAGATGAATTGGAGTGGCTGAATTAAAGCAAATTTATGAAATGAAGTGAGGATCAACTTAACAGCAGATAATTGAATCAGGGCTGCTGGATGTTAAGTGTTTCAAAGAGCTATGCAAATTCTATAGGTTTTGGATGGAGTTGCTGCTTTGGGGGTTTTTATAGATAAAAGACAATGTTTCAATCAACACCTCAATTAACTATGGTCACTTCCCCATATTTGATATATGGATTACATTAAACACAAGGACAACATGAAGTGCAAGGAATATATGTTTTGAATATATGACACCAGTATATTTCTGATGTTAACCCAGGTTCACTCTCTCTCTCTCTCTCTCTCCCTGTGTGATGGGTAACTCAATTCAGTGATGCTTTTGTCAACTCTCACTCTCAAAGGAGATTCATACACTGAAGCGGAGTCCTGCATCAAAGTGATGAATAGCATTGGGTGACTCTAAAAGAGAAGTCTTTTCTGCTGATCTTGGGATTCTTATAGAGAATATATAATGGAATATATTTCAGTTCCCTATATGAAAGAGTCGAATAGTGTGATGGGTTTTCTGTCATTCATATGAGCAGCTGTCCACTGATTTTTCAAACTTATCATAGCTCCTTTGAGATAGTACGATTAAGATTTCTTTGGCCTTCATTCATTTTATTAGGTTCTTGAATGTGACCAGTTACAAGGCTTAACTTTGCTCTCATATGTTATACTTCTAGCCTGTTACTACCAGCAGAATTAGGAGTTGAGCTCAGCAATCATCCTTCTAACCAGTCAGGAATATACCCATAGTTCAAACCAAGTATTCACTATTGGGACTGATCTTGCATGATTATGGAAGACTTAAATCTCAAAGTGAGTGAATGAGTACCAGGCTAACACTTGCATATGCTATTTTAAAAAAAGGGAGGGGGAATGTGCAAGGCTACAAAATCCAGATAATTGACAGAGTTTACTTAATCTCAAAAAGCAAAGTAGAACTGGAC